TGCGAAGGTTTGAGTGAATAATTCTTCTCGGTACTTGTCCTTCCCTTATGTCCTTGGTGTTGAAATGAAGCGCTCCTCTCTCTGTCTGCAGGTGGTCTCTAACCTGTTGGCTCAGCCCACTTTCAGTCACCCACGCAGCAGGCTTAAATATGGCGCCGTCATCCCCTAATCTAATACCCTCCAGTTACCGAGAAGTCAACCTGCAGGAAATCAGCCATTCAATCAGTCACTTAGCAAAGAGTAAAGGGTTATTAGACTGTCTCGAAATGTTGGTTAGAGATCTGATATCAGGAATACACTCCTTTAAAATGTAGTTTAGTTTAACTAGTGGTGGAAGAAGCACTGATATACTTTATTTAAGTAAAAGTAGTAATACTGTGTTGAAATACAAGTAAAAGTATAAGCATCAAAATGTACTTAAAGTACCGAAAGTAAAAGAAAGACACACACACACACACACACACACACACACACACCCCCCCCTTGTCTTAAAGAGGCAGGCGCTATAAATAGAGTTCACCTTGCTGACCCGCAAAGAGCAATTTATCAGTACATCTCGTGTCTTCTGACCTCCTCTGGTTAAACCCTTACGGTTCATCGTGGACACATTTGCATTTTAGATTTCTCTTATGCTTTGTTAATGAATATATATGAAACACTTCTGAAATGTAAGATGTTTCTTTGGAAATATTGGAAGTCTAACCATAGCTCCAATAAACTTTATATTAAGAGTTTAGCCAAAACACAAGATGGCTCCAGTGAAACTAGTGAAAACTTAAAACCATATTTTCTATTCATCCCAAGGCTATATCAGTATAACATCATGTTTTCTGTTGTATCAGACTTTCAATCGGGAGCCCGAACATCAATATTTCAATATTTATTTCTTGGATTTCTGCACAAAATAGATACAAATCCATGTTTTCCTTACTTTAACAGCTGGTGGTTAGAATCTGTGCACCACATTTGTAGACAGAATAATGACATTTTAAGTATTTTTCTTTAACAGATTTGTGACTTTTAACTCTAAATTAATAGTTTCTATAACATCATTTTGAGAAAATATGTAACAACTGATACAAAATTACCAGATATTTTTTATAAATGTTGTGTTATGTGTATATATTTCCATGAATGGGCGTGCGTTATCAAACTGACAGACATTAGTGATACTTAAATAACCTTTATTTATTAAAGCTCTCCTCCACATCCTCCTCCTCTGGCACGGTTACATCACAGTGACTCAGTCGTCCCCTCACCAGATCACTTCTTTAACCAATCACACAACGGTCTGCATAATTAGATCAAATCAGAACACAATAAATCTTGACATGCGACTACAAACACACAAACGACAAACACTGGGAACTAATGCTTTGTTGTTTTATAATTACAGTTGCAAACATTAGTGACAGCAGCATCGAGATGTTGACCTCAGAGTGGTGCAGAAAAATTGTCGATAATTCTGACTTTTTACCCAAAAACTTTGAGACGAGGGGACCTAAAAGTACAAAAACACTGACTCATTTCCAGGTTTTAGGACTCATTCCTGCACCACTCCATTCAAAATCCTTATTTCTTTACCAGTAGAGTCCATGCATGTCTCTACAGGGAATAGGGAGCTGAGAAAAGCCTCAGATAAAGTGTAATTGTGAGTAGTAAAAATAGCCCTCTTTAAACTCTTTCTAAATTACAATAGGTCACATTTTGAAAATAAAGCACTCAAATACATTTCCTTTAAATCTGATTGAAAGATATTTCACTTTACAGAGAATTCATGAAAATAATCTCCAAACAGCTCCATGTAAAATGTGTTTTGAAGGACGGCAGCTTCCTGTTGGACGGTCTATTTGTTGACGGTAAACGACTGCAGGCCGGTGATCGCTCGGCCCAGGATCAGAGCGTGGATATCATGAGTTCCTGAGGAGGAGACACATGTAGAGACACATAATCAACATTTAAATATAACAGATGAGTGAGTGCTCTGTATTGTCATACTAATGGTTACTCAAGCCAAAAGATCGTTATGACATCATAAAGTGGCCAAAATCTGATCGGCTCATTTTCAGACAGGTTTTTATAGAAATGGACCAGGACAAAAAGAGAGAGAATCTTTGTTCCTGAAAC